TCCCATACAAATTCTTCCAACAAAACTACTCACTATGCACATAAGTATAACAAAATTTACAAGTGTTCGATTTACGGCCGTAAAGACCATATTGCTAAATTTTGTTATAATGCACAAAAGCCTAACAAGCCTAATCATGTTTGTGCATCCCATCAAGCTTCTCCATCTCATACATATGTACACACACATAATGATCATCATAAAAATTCCCATGTGTATAAGTGTGATTTTTGTGGTCGTTTTGGTCATTTGACCAAGTTTTGTTTCGATTTGAGAAGAACTTCCCGATTGCAAAACAATTTTAAAGAAAAATCTATTTTTGCAAATGATTTTCGTGCACAACCAATTAGTCAACACAAATTTTTTTTAACCTTTTCATTGCATCCATTGCAATCAAAAATGACATTTATATGAGTATTGTTTTGACCTTGTCCGTGCACCATATATGCCCAAATGGGTTCATAACCCAAGGGCTTTGAGCTTGAACGATAGGGGTCATGTCCCTAAAATCTTCGGTACCAAGAGTAATTGGGTACCAAAATATATTTAATCTTTAAGAAAGAATTCTTTAGCTTTTTAGTTTTTCATGTTCTTAAAGATGATTTCTATTTAAGTTTTATAAACAAAACTGAAAATAATTTTATACATGGTATTTAATTTGAAAAGTTATCATTCATATTTTTTTTCATGATTCTCTTTCATAGATTTTCATGTTTTCATCCTTTATGAATTGATATAATTTTTATCAATATGATTTTTCTATGCTAAAACATCATTTTTATTAGTATACATTGTTTTCAATTTTTAAGTTTGAACAATGTGTTTGTGTTTATGGGATCGTTATAAAACACTCTTATGATGATATTTATATGTTTGAGCTTCCGAATCATCTATTTATAGTTTATAATATATTCCTTATATGGTTTGATCAAGTTTTACAAAAAATATTTCTTCTATTGATCAAACACTTTTTAGATATATACTTTGTTTTGAATTTACATATGAGAGGGTGGTTGTGGGATTGTGATATTGTGAGAGTGAGCTTATGTTGTGTTCTCATCTATTATAGAGAACAAAATCTTGTATTTGAGCCGTATTGTGAGTTACATGTTGTATTACACTTGTATACCGAGAGAAGTGTGTGGTGAGAGATGGGGTCAGTTCCAAAAGGAGTGGGATCGGTAGTAAAGCCTAGTGAGAGGTAGTAATTCTGAATACTTAAGGAAGGTGACACGGGCTAGGCCAACACTTAAAGGGTGTAGAGTATAATTGCAAGTGTGTAGGTTGTAAAGTTTTCGGTGAACTAGAAAATCGAGTTGGGAGGTATAAACGTTATTCGGATGAGCGTAGAAAACCTGGTTGTGACAGTCGAGATCTCCTCGAGGTGAGGAGCGAAGACATAGGTCAAGTGGTTGACCGAACTCCGTAAACATATCGTGTGTTTGAGTTTGCTTTGGCGTTCTTTTATTTGTGCTCATATCTTATATCGTCATTCTTGCATTGTTTATTTATCCCACTATATTGTTTACTCTTGTGTTTATATCCTTGCATATATCTCATAGTGTATCTCATTGCTAGGATATTGCCCTTTGTTTATATTGCTCATTCTTGCTTATGACACATTGTATATCAATCTTGCAAGAATATTTTGTTAATAAGTTTTAATCGTCATTAATATCTAATAAGATTAGCATAAACCCTATTCAACCCCCCCCACTTTTGAGCCCAATGAAAAATTCTTCATATCATTTTTCAAATCACTATTTTTGGACTTTAGTTGTTTATTTTTGGAAACTATTGTAGTGCATTGAGTTTCAAACTTTATTTGTTCGGATGATAAATCGCATAACAACTCATTTACCTTAGCAAAAAGTTTTTGTTTTTCACTTTCAGTGTTTTCAAGATGCTTAGATAAATAAGAGATTTGATTTTGTAGCTCAGAACATTGTGTGCACATGAAAGAGGTTGTATCTTCTGAATTCAAATTTAATGAGGAAAATTAAAATTTATTTGACAAATATTTATTTTCTTTATTCAAGTTTATATTTATTTTTTTTTTGAGTTTTTATATTTTTGAGCTATATTTTCCAAATAAATTAACATCTCCTTATACTTAGAATAAAGCTCATCGTAAGAAGGATATAACTTGAGAAATTATTGTTTATCTATTTATTGAATTGATAATAGATGGGTTTAGTTTTAGAATCACTTAAGATATTATTATTTACCTATTTAGTGAACTGATTTCGTCTTTTCTAAAGATATTTCTGTCCTTTCTTTGACTTACGGAAAGACTTGGATCCCTTAACTATAAGTGGAGATTGATCATCCTCGTCTTCAGGACTCGAGTTTGACTTCTTCTTCTTCTTTGATCAAGATTTTTTTTACTTGCTTTTAAGGTCAATGACTTCTTCTTCGTATATTCTTCTGATACATCTTTTCTCTCTTTTAGACGAACTTCTTCTTCAATGGCCATTACCTTAGGTTCCTAATCCCGAGATAGAGAGCGGAGTATTTTTCTATCCAATTCCTTATTTTTGTACTCCTTCCCAAAAGCTTTAGACTTGTTGATAATATCGGTGAGTCGTGTGAACATATCATGTATGCTCTCTAAGGCCTTCATCTTAAATTTTTCGTATTTTCTCACTAGCATTGTAAGCTTTGCCTCATTAACCTGCAAAGTTTCCTCATGAGTAAGTTCCAGTATCTTCTAAATTTTTAGTGCAGTAGTTTAATTAGAGACACTATTAAATTTTGCAACAATAAGAGAGCAATATAAAATATACATAGCTTCAAATTATATAAAAAAAAGTATTTTTATGTTGAGGGGACTATTTATCCATAAGATTTTCAGTAACTAGTCCACCTTTATTCTCAATAGGATTATGATACCCGTGCTCGATACACTCCCAAATATGAAAATTGGTAGGTAATAAAAAGATTTTTATAGGTGATTTCCAATATGTGTAATTGTTGCTGTCCAAAAGTGAGGGACAGTTGATGGCTTGTCCTTAGGAAAAGCTGAAGTGATGATAAGGCTTGACACCTCTACCGTAGATTGTGATATCTAAATATGGGTAACGAGGCTCCGATGTAACTTGTTGGAACTAGAATGCAAACCTAGTGGAGGGGTGAATAGAGTAGCTATAGTTTTTCGACAAGCATCAGAAAATGCTGCGGTAATATAATAAGCAAAAAATAAAAAGCAAACTAATACAAGAGCACATGTGGTTTTTATAGTAGTTCAAATTATAATCCTATGTTCACTATTCTTTCTCTCGAAGGAACTTCCTCACTATGACTAGAGTTCATCTAAATCACAGCCCGATTCAGTAGGCTTCAAAAACCGCACCCTGAAATCTACCGAAAACTAGTTGTCTAACCTAAATCTTCACAATGACCAGAAAAACATAACCCTAGCTAGCCCAACCCTCAATTACATCGGCTTGAGTACGCCGTCAAACTCACAAGTTTGAAATACAACAAACCAAAATAATTAAAGCACGTTAAGAACAATCTTACAGCCTTTTATCAAATAGTTTTTTAAATCATTGAAGTTGAAGATCCATGAAGAAGAGATGCAGCAATGTAAGCATAGGGCACTCCTATCTGAATCAAACTCCAACGAAAAGCGCACCTAGAAGAAGCTGAATGAGGCTCAGACAATTTGGTCATCTCTCTCTCTCTCTCTCTCTCTCTCTCTCTCAAACCCTAGAATAAAGATATTTCCCTTTGTGTATTTTCCTCTTTAAATTTTGTTATAAATTATGTTCTCTAACTCTCCTTAAATAGTACTGGATAGGACAGGAAAGAGATACTCAACTCAGAGTGAAAATAGGAGATCAAACGGATTAACGAACGGCTAAAATTAAATCATGAAAACTGCTAAATTTTGACATAACCATCGATGGCGCATCACAACCATCGATGGTTCCATGGTGATCATTAATGGTTTAACTATAGCCATCGATGGTGTTGATTCTGATTTTTGGATGTTTTTTCAATTGTCTCCTATAACCATCAATGATTCCCTATGACAATTGATGAGTCACTGTAGACCATCGATGGTGTCAATTCATGTTTCTATTTTTTTCTCCCATTTTCTCTTGTAACCATTGGTAAGATGCTTGACAATCGATGTGTGCTTCTTGACCATCGATGGTTCGAAGGCTAAAATCAATATTCGTGTTAATTTTTACATCGGCTTGAACAACATCTTGCTCATATCTGTTTATACCTGAAATATATCATCTCACAAACCATATCAATAGTAAATAAGAGTTTTTTATTATTCGAACAAGAGATATTGTACGAACGATATTCTAACAATCTCGTACGAACAACTTTCTAACATATTGTCTTGTTTATATTCTTGGATTGAAACTTGTAGATTTTAGTTGTAATTTTATTTCAATTGCATTAGATCTTGGCATATTCCATATCGTCGAGGGCTTTGGTCGCAACATAACCAAAGTGAATATAGCATGAGTCCTATACTACCAATGTGCGGGCTAGTTTGGTATTGCTTTTTTTTAGAGCGTTTTTGCTTATTCTTTTCAATAAGTAAATGGTTGTTTGGTGATTTTTTTGGCATGCTTATTAAAACTGGTTCTTTTTTTAAGAGGATGTTTTTAGAAGTAATTTGAGAATGCTTTTAAAAGCAAATTCTGCATTTTTCAGTTTATATACTACATATATTTTTTATCTTTTAACAATAATCATTGAGAACAGGTCTACCAAACACCTTAATTGTAAACAACTTAACTGTTTTTTAAGCAGTTACTGATATCTAGTTACCAAATAACTAACATCTTATATAAGTTTCTTCTATAATTGGCTTATATAAGCAACTAATTATTAACCAGACTAGCCTTTGAAACAGATTGCAATTGACTAAAATTTTGTATCCAAACAAGGCCTCTTATATTAAATTTGGATATAGTTCTAATAACATTAAAAAAAATTCACACAAATTCGACACACCAAACTAGAACCCAAAACAACAGAACCATAACTACTAAATATCTGCTCCAATTAAAAACAATAATCGTATCTATCTATATAGCCTGATAACTTACATACCGAGCACATGAATTAGCCACGAAACCAGCAAATAAACTCCCAATCTTTCTCTAACTACTACCTATATTAAGAATACCCCTCCAAACAAACAAACAAAAAATGTCAATTCCGCTCCCCATCTCTCTACTCCACTCTCTATTATCAGTCAGGTTTACCAATCCGTCTATCGTCAAGCAACAACCAAAATAAAGCCCGCCACCATTGCCCCCACAGCCAACGCCGCAGCTCCAAAATATCTTCTTCCCTGCAATCAAAAATATCAGTTAGCAAAACAATACCTTTTTTGGTATTAGCCCTCCAAATCTATTGTACACTGAAATTAGTCCCCTAACTCTAGTAAAATATTTTGGAATTGGTCCTACAAGCGAAGCAGCCGGATGAATAAACAACCACCACCATCATCATCAAAATCATTCATCAGATTACTCACCGGCGCATCAGAGATCGTATAAAACCCAGTAGACGCCGAATCCCCCGTCGGCGACTCTGCACCCTGGTCAGCA